TCCAGCGCATCATTCCTTGCTGTTTTGATCGATTTCACGAAAGATCGAGTTTGTTCGGGATGTTGTGTCTTGTCGGTAACAGATTCGTAACTCGTACACGTTCGTACCGGTACGTACCGTACGTACCCGTATCATACTGTAATGTATTATCGTTCTTCTGTTCCAGTACGTACTAAGTACCTACGTACGATAACTTCTACAGTATCCTCTCAAACCTAAAAAATCGAAGGTGTCAATCAACAGTCAATCATCGGCCGCAATGTTATGGGTACGATAAGTATCTCAGATTAGTATCGTACGTAACTTAGTATCATACTTTGGTAGGTGTAGAATGTATCATACTATATCAATAACGGTGTCACTGTTTGTTCCTTGCAAAAACGGGAGAAATTATATTATCATTACCGTACCGTGTGGGTACATGTAACAAAATATACAATAATAAATACACAGTACAAAGTGCGTACAATCCTACACACACACAAATAATCGCCAACTCGCTAAAACACAAGTATTTCTAAGAGTGAGGCTTACTACTGGAGGGGAAATACCAAAAAACTTAGTGAAAATTGAGGTACACGAGTACACTCCTTAATTAACCAAGTACTTTGAAGTACTCGTAAGAGTGCTAACTACTKGGGAATGAAGGTACAACAAAAAACCTGTAATTTTATGAGTCGACAGTACTAAGAGTACTGCTTACTWCTGGAAATAAACACCTCCACACGRACTCCTTACTACTGATTCCTACAAGGACCTCAGGCCCAATACTACTGGTACTGGGGGTGTTGCTAACTGTGTTAATAGGAATACTGCTCCTTACTATTTCTTAACAGCTATCTAACATTGCTCTTCTATTCAGGATAGCAATATAACACGAAACTCGTAACACCACGAATAACACGGAATAACACGACGGAATAACAGCACGAATAACACAGCAAACGATAACACGAATAACACAGCAAACGAATCGCAGCAACGAATCGATTGCTCCCTTGCTTCCATACGAATCGATTGCTCCCTTGCTTCCATA